TATATATATGTATGTATTAAATAGCAGAGAGCAGGAATAAATGGCAAACAGGAGAAATATATACAAAAATAAGAGAAAGGCACACATTGTAGAACATGGCCTGGTACTTATATACTGCCTTTCAACTGCAAATCTCATTTACCCAATAACACAGACATATACTGCTTAAGATTTCTAACATTTACACACACACTTGCACCCTGATGGATGCATCAGGGACAAGTGGTTCAGTATCTTGTTAAAGGATACTTCTGCATGAGGACCAGAGGAGTCGGAGATCAAGCCACCAAACTTACAACTGGGCACTCCACATGAGCCACAGCAACAACTATTTTTTTGCTAGCTATATGAATTTGTAGTTTTTTTTTAAACCTAGTGATTTTAGCTAATAACAGTTTTTTGTTGTTGTTGTTTTTTTTGTTTTTTTTTTATTGAGCTGACTGAAGTTGATAGGCTTGGTTTGAAAGCTTTTCCTAGTGAGACAGAACTTAGTATTTATTATTGAGCAACAGTATGAGGAGTCATCAACTCCTCATACTGTTGGGTTGCTTCTCAACCCAAGAGAAGCAAACTGAGTGTGTGTATAAAGCCCAGGTGAGGTCATCAAAGAGGACTCTTGATAGTGTTATAGAAAGCATCTGGGGGTAAACCACACCAGAGCGTGGCAGATGAGGTCGTGATCAGAAGAAATGGAGTTTAAAAAAGATCAAAATATAAAAATCTGGGGGAAAAAATATTGTTGGCAAAATCCTTACGTGTACATGACCATGAGAAGAAAGTGTGTTGGTTCTGTAAAAGCTGAAGGAGAAAAGGCAGCAGTTTGAATGAGTGTAGAGAAAATAATTCCTATATTAAACAGAACTCTCCTGTTTGGTTGAGATGTTACGAAACAGGAACAATTCAAAAGTGCTTTTTAAATAGCCTAGTTAAGAAAACGTAATGCTTTTGTGTAAATCAAGCCTTTTGTTAGTCTTGTTTGGGTGTATTGACCCAAAACACAATGCATGTCTTTATTTGAAAGTGTCAGCAGCTTATTTTCCTTTTTTTAAAGAACTACGAAATCTGTTATTCATAGATCGTCTGAATTGTTTTGTTCAATATTGTGAAATTATTCTCCAAGTAAGTGCTCTTACAAATTGAAGCATATAGATTTTGAAGTTTTAAAGCATCGAAATAAATGAAAGGTGAGGTTTGTGTGTGTTTTCAAGCAAGCTGCTTATCATTTTACCTGCACATTGCAGTTTTTTAAATTTTATTGCTTAACATACTTCACTGTGCCGTGATAAACTGGCTGGATTTATTAAGGACTTTGGCAGATCATTTTTCCCGAAGGATAACAATTCCAGGTTTCTCCTTGGCTGCGTTTTAGGTGTTTTCTTTCTCACCATTTATTTTCAACGCAGATCAAGCAATGAATGAAATGATTTCTGAAGACTGGAGCCATATAGTTTAGGAATAACATACATTCCTGATATGTATGCTACATTTTGATGAAGAAACGTGACAGAATGAGGTGAAGTTACTGAGGTCTCATCCTGGGAACAATTTAAAAAAATGATACCCTAATAAAATAAAAGTAATATAAATATATGTAATTAAACATTAATGTTAATAATAATATAGAAAGACATAATAAATAATAATGGCTTACTAAGAAGTCTATAAAAAGTGCAGAATGCAATTTGTGTATTTAGAGGTGTGGCAATTTGACACAGTTCTACAGTCTCTCTTAATTTTATCCATGTTAAACATTTTATTAATGGCCGTCATCACTGTGGATATTTTTAGTCTTATTATGTTATTTCTTCCTTTTTAACTTATGATTAAGGTTCTTTTAGCTCTTTATCACAGTGGTTTTGAGCAGTTTGCCAGCACACGGGGCGATCGTGGCTCAAGAGTTGGGTGTTCGTCTTGTAATCGGAAGGTTGCCGGTTCGAGCCCCGGCTCGGACACTCTCGGTCGTTGTGTCCTTGGGCAAGACACTTCACCCGTTGCCTACTGGTGTTGGCCAGAAGGGCCGATGGCGCGATATGGCAGCCTGGCTTCTGTCAGTGCGCCCCAGGGCAGCTGTGGCTACAACTGTAGCTGCCTCCACCAGTGTGTGAATGGGTGGATGACTGGGTGTGTAAAGCGCTTTGGGGTCCCTAGGCAGGACTAGTAAAAGCGCTATACAAATACAGGCCGTTTACCACACAATTAAGATAACACAACAAATAAATATCAGCCACTGCAATCAGAAAATGCTGTCATTTTTTATATAAGGAGATGAAGATATCAGTCAGATATAGCAATATTGTTCAGTCAGTGTACTCCTGCTTCCCAGTCAGCAGTTCAATACAGCACTCCATTAAATTTGTTGCTAAATCTTTTTACAGGTACCGATCTTTAGCAAGAAGGAAGAGGTTTTTGGATACTTGGCCAAGTACTCAGTCCCTGTAATGCGTTCAGCATGGATGATTAAGATGACCTGCGCATATCATGCAGCTATCACAGAAACTAAAGTCAAGAAGAGGCATGTGATTGACCCGTGCATAGGTGAGCATGTTACTTAGGTCTTTTCAGTCTCGAGAGATCATTTGGCTAAACGATATAATTTTACCTTTCATTCGATATTGTGACATCATGTATTAGATATTTTGGCGGCTGTGAAAGTCATTTCTTTGTGTGTTTGTATAGAATGGACCCAAATCATTACCAAGTATCTCTGGGAGCAGCTTCAGAAGGTGGCTGAGTTTTACAGACAGTTTCCCAGCCAAGGCTGCAGCTCACCCCTGCCAGCTAATCCCCCTGATGTGGAGACGGCCATGAAGCAGTGGGAATACAACGAGAAGCTGGCCATGTTCATGTTTCAGGTCAGCTCACACTCTCGAGTCTGCTGCTGAAAAAGTCTTGGAGTTAAAATGCTGCAGTTGAGCTTTGTGCACAGCAGGTAACTCGTGTAACTACCAAACTTAACGACGCTCCATGGCAACATTTGATGAATGTTGCCATGGTTTTGATGAATCGCACTGGTTTATTATACTATTTTATCTTTGAGTCACAAGTGTGCAATTTGTAACAAATATTTATCATATTTAATTCACTAAATTGTGCCGTCTGCAATTGATATTTGAATTTAAATGGACGTGTTACAGACGCTGATTGATGCTTTGAACTCCAGGGTTGTTGCAATATCAATAGTTTCTCTTCTAAAAATGATCATTTGTTTTAGATCTGGAAAGTTTTGAGGTTAGATGTTGCCAAAGGATGTTGCTCTTGCATGTATGCGCAGCATATTCAGTCATATTAATCTCAGTAGTCTTCCGAGTGGATGATATGAAGTCTGAGGCAGCTACTGTGTTCTGTGTATATATGATAATGTTGAGATGTTGAAAATGTTCTAATTTAATACATTTTTCAGCCACACAAAGGAGACAGTGCGTAGGAGTGTTAAGATCTGCATCGTATTAAGCTGGACTTGTGTTTCTGTGCTCAGGATGGTATGTTAGACAGACACGAGTTCCTGACGTGGGTGCTGGAGTGTTTTGAGAAAGTCCGGCCTGGTGAAGATGAGCTTCTCAGACTACTTTTGCCCCTTTTACTACAGGTATACACATCTGCTCATTCACTGTCACCTCATTATGAAGCTCAGTCTTTAGTTTCAATCTAACCTCATCACTCGTGCTTTAATGGATCACATTTGCGAAACCTGCACTCCTCCTTAACATTCATACAGCTGTGCAGATACACCCACCCACCTGCTCTGTGGTATGACGTGCTTCTACAGCTGTCACCACTTTATCCTGTTTTGTTTCTTCGTGTGATGGCAATGACCTTTGGTGACAGCACCCACCGGGGCCCACAGCCCTCATTTTGTTTCCATTTCTGTAGCTGACTGATGTGAACGAACACCAAGTGCTCTGGTTAATGCTGTGAATCTCTCCTCTGTGCCACAGTACTCGGGGGAATTCGTGCAGTCTGCTTACTTGTCACGAAGACTGGCTTACTTCTGCACGCGCCGCCTCAACTTGTTGCTAAGTGACGGGAGCCTGGGCCCTGGCACAGGAGGGCATCCAGCTCACGGCATCTTGACACAGCAAAGCAACGCTCTGCCCTCCACACCAACCTCCCAGCCAGCGGGAGGGAACCAGCCCCAGACACCTTTTACAGACTTCTATATCTGTCCACAGCACAGGCCTCTGGTGTTTGGTCTCAGCTGCATGTTACAGGTATTCTATGTCCAATTTCATTCTCATGTACTTAATACATGGTTTCTAAGCCCGGTATTTATTCCTTTATTCCTTCTCCCTGCCCCTCTCTCTCCTGCCATTGTCACATTAGAGCATTGTGTTGTGCTGTCCCAGTGCTCTTGTGTGGCATTACTCTTTAACAGACAGCAGAAACAAGACTGGTTCCCCTCTCGACCTCCTGCCCATCGCTCCTTCCAGCTTGCCAATGCCAGGAGGCAACACTGCCTTTACACAGCAGGTACCTCCATCCATACTCACATTTTCCTTTTTTTGTATGTGAAATTATTCATATGGTGCTCAAAAAAAACCTCATGGGCTTTTCTTTCATTTGTTTGCAATTAAAGTCATTGTATTGGCTTTTCTAGTGCACAAAAGCAATGAATTCCAGTGTATTACAGTAAATCAATAAAGAACAAGAAATGCACAGAGCAAAACAGATTTGTGCACAAACAGGCTCCTAGTGCAGAAACACAAGGACAGTCTCTGAAGTACCAACAAAGCCAGTTTGAGCAAATGGAAGTTTGCATTGAAATATATGTCAGGTGTTTGGAGATTCTCTACTTATAAACACAACTGTGCTTTACATAAACCTTCTTCACTACTTTTAATTGGTTATTTAGTTACCTCATAATCTTAAGATTTGTTGGCAGTCCCACAGGTTTTGGGTTTCTGTTTCTTGCCCTCTAACAGAGTGGTCTTTCACAGGTTCGTGCAAAGTTGCGGGAGATTGAGGAACAAATTAAGGAGCGAGGTCAGGCAGTGGAGTTCAGGTGGTCGTTTGATAAGTGCCAGGAGACGACAGCGGGTATGAACACTGTTTCTTTCACTCTTTAGATACTTGATTGCAGCTTTTAAGAACAAATTAAAATAACGTTGATCTTTTGGCAGGATTCACCATCGGAAGGGTTCTCCACACTCTGGAGGTTTTAGACAACCACAGCTTTGAGAAGTCTGACTTCAACAACTCCCTGGATTCACTGTACAACAGGATATTTGGTTCAGGCCAGAGCAAAGATGGCCACGAGGTAATGAGTTTTGTGTATATTTTAGTGAGTTAACAGTTAAATTCAGTTATAGTTAGTTACATTTTGTTTGGTATTCAGTTTAGTTCTAGTTTTCGAAGTAGTTTTGGTCGTTTCCAGTTTTGATTGAATGGTTCACTAAAGGCTAGGTTTTTATTTAAGTTAAAAGTGATTTTTCCCACAGTTGTTAGTTTAGTTTGAGTTAGCTTTAGTAGTTGCATGCTACAGGAGAGTACTGACCACGTTGTTGTTAATTGTAATAAAAAGCAGACTGCTGATGCCATGTGATTACCGATCATTAGATAATAGTGTGACACCGAGTGATGTTATATTTGGAGATGTTGTCTCATAAAGCGTGTTTCTACCCAGATGTCACCTGATGATGATGCGGTGGTGACCTTGCTTTGTGAATGGGCTGTGTGCTGTAAGCGTTCAGGCAGACACAGGGCCATGGTTGTGGCCAAGCTGCTGGAAAAGAGGCAGGCTGAAATAGAAGCAGAGGTAAGAAACACACCGCCCTCCAATCTGAGTTCTGTTGTGCCTCTTCTGCACCTTTAGTGCAACTTCTGTCTCAGAAACCTTATAATTTATTACATTTCTTACACAGGATATATCCAAATTTAATGACATCCGTGGCTGTCAGCCGCAGATCTAACACTAATAATTTTTGCCACGTTATTACTGTTACAGTTCCTTACCGAATGTTGCCATGCATGTCATCCATCATCATAACATCATCATCATCATATTTTTATATTTTCCTTTTGTGATGGATTTCACCATTCACTGTTTTTATGACTGGGTCTCTGTGCTGTGAAAATGCTTTCCAGACTGTCCCTTATAATTGCCGATACAAACTCCCTAAAACTTCCTCATGCAGGAGAAGAAAGAAGTGGGGACACAAATGAAACTGTTCAAATAAAATAAAAGGCAGAAATGCCATTTTACAGGGGGCTTACTATTAACATGACCCATTTGACAAAATTTGGTGGTGAATTTGCTGCATGCTTCATGACTTGCAGACATATTTGTGACATTTTGTGATTAAGATCACAGGTAAGCTCTCCATTCCCTACAGCATAGCATGTATCTCCAGATAATGTGTGAATAGGGTTTTATTCTTTAGTTTATATTTTGACTCGAAGTCACGGTAACCATCTGTTGTGTCTGAACATATCAGTCTCTGATGTTGTTTATTTGTAGTTGTCGCATCCCTAATCTTTATGTTTTGAGTGTAAGATTTAGTGAGAAGCTTTAAATGTGTATACACAGTTGACTTTCAGCGTGTGTGTGTAGATTTACTGTAAATCCAAAGAAACATGCTAAGTAAGAACATTTTTCTGAATTACACTCAAAGACTGTCTGTTGCACATTTGTTTGCAGAGGTGCGGCGAGTCGGAGGTGGTGGATGAGAAGGGCTCTGTGTCATCCGGTTCCCTGTCAGCTGCCACACTGCCAGTCTTTCAGGATGTGCTGCTGCAGTTCCTTGATACTCAGGCTCCCACCCTGAGTGAGTCTTTCTTTTTGTTTGTTTCTTGCAGCGATGATTCTCTGATGTGTCACACATGATCTCAGTCTAAATATTGAACGAACTTTACGTCCCTTTGTCTTTGCCTTTTTACTTCATTACTCATTGCATATTTATTCGAAATGATTTGGCAGGGGAAATCTGCTAATAAATTATTCAAATCCTCTTTTCCCCTTCACAGCGGAGCCTGGGAATGAAAGCGAACGCGTGGAGTTCTCCAACCTAGTCCTTCTCTTCTGCGAGCTCATCCGTCACGACGTCTTTTCCCACAATATCTACATGTGCACGCTCATTTCCCGTGGCGACTTGGCTTCTGACTCCCACCTGCCCCGCCCACGTTCACCCAGCGATGAGCCCTCTGATGAATCGGAGCGCAAAGAGCAGGATGCAGGCAGCAGTGTCAAGATGGAGGCATGTTGGAGGAATCTGTTGTCGATGTTGTGTAGAGTTACAGACACAGTAGCTGTGTGGTGTAGAAAGATAACATGAAGTTCTTGTTTGGTCAACAGGATACTGGCCTGTCGGAGTCCATGGAAATCGATCATAACTCCAGTGCTAATTTTGATGAGGTATATTTTTGCCAGAATTTACACACAAACACTAGGAGCCATTTCTGTCTGAACATTTTGGTGTTCCTCGCTTGAAGTAATTTCAGACTTCTTTGTCCTGCAGATGTTCTCACCTCCAATGCACTGTGAAACCAAGGGAAGCCCCTCTCCAGAGAAGCCGGTTACAGATCAGGACAGTAAGCCCAACTGTAAGGACAAGGGCATGGACCCCGCCTTTCCTCAACTGTATGAGCAACCCCGTCACATCCAGTATGCCACTCACTTCCCTATTCCTCAGGTAAGAAGCCTTACAGTGTGACTTTGAAAACAGAAATACCCGATACTCTCTCCTACAGGGCCTTAAGCGCAGATATCTTCCTAATACACTGAAAGCACAGTATGACTCAGTGATATTATGTAGTAAATGATAAAGATGGAGAATAATCTTCTTCCTCTGTACTTTGACAACATCTGAACTGGATGTTTGTCGGTACATCTGTTAGTTTTTATTTAGTTTCCTGAAACCCGTTTTCATTTTCAGTCTCAGTTTAACTATAGCCTAAATTACTGAAAAGCAAATTTACATTATGAAATCAACTCAGGTGGCCAAAAGAAAATATGTTTTGGTGGTTTCCTAATGAGGTCTGGAATTGTTTTTCAGCTATTTTAGATTTGATTTCCTTTTCCCATGAAGAGCTAGCTCTTACTCTCTGTATCAATAAAGTCTTATATATTAACTTGATTTGTTTTGCAAGGTCTTTGTGAATGGGTGTAAATGCTATAAAAAATGACTTTGCTTAATACATGAAGTTGCACATACACCGAGGCCATTGAACTTTTGAATCTATTAAATCTTGGTCCCTAAATGTTGTTTAAATTATATAAATGATGCTTTATAATGTCATTGGTGGACAAAAAGCATTGATGTGAATAATTTCTAATATTAATATAGCTAAATGAATATGATATTTTTAATGTCATTTGTGAAATGGCTCTGTTTAGTGCTCGATGAGATTTTTTCATACACAGAATTATAACTGCTTTAATTCTGGACTCATTCACAGCATGGTTTTAACACAGTTCAGTGTAAGATTCTTTTTTGGGGTCGTTTTTATTGTCCTTCTCAGCTGGTTTGAAAAGTTTGCTAAATTATTGCTCGTCTTTTTCTTTTGGTTCCTGTCGTTCTTGATTTTATTGAAGTTCATCAGGATCTCTTTCTTTCTTTTTAGGAGGAAAGTGCCAGTCATGAATGCAACCAGCGTTTAGTGGTCCTCTACGGTGTGGGCAAACTGAGAGATGAGGCGAGACACACCATTAAGAAAATTACCAAAGACATCCTGAAGGTGCTAAACCGCAAAAGCACAGCAGAAACAGGTAACGGCGTTCCTCCTTTGACTGATGCTAAACATTTTCTGTTTGCTTCTCCGGGCATGAATTTTGTCTGGCAGTTTTATGTTTTTTTTAAGATTACATTACAGTTTTATTTTACCTGCTTTTCACCTTTAAGGATGAAAATGGGAGTCAGGGGATTGTTTGAATGTTTTATACATGTTCCTCCAATTTGTTGACTGAATGTTTCCCCCGCATCTTTCTGCAGAATAATCCGTGTTTATCATATGAAAGATAATGTTTTGGCTGAAAGCAACATGGAAAACAGAAGCTTTATCATGTTTGGTTGTTTGTAAAACATTTTTCACACGTAGGGTAATTGCTTGCTTTCCCACTGTGGCCGTTCCAGCCGTTATCCGACTAATAATTCTCCTCTTTGTGTACTTTACATTTGTAACGCCTTTCTTCTGCCCTTCTTAAAAGAAAAAGCCCTCTTTTTTTCCCTTCTGTTCTCTATGAACCCTCAGGGGTTTACATCACTCAATCTTCTTTCTACCCAATTTCTATGCTAATAGCTTTCATCTGTTCACAGACACTTTATCTCAAATACACGTGACCTTATTAGTCTGATTTAAGGTTTTGGGAGTAATAATTGCACATACGGAATGTTTTATGGCAGATTTCTGAGGTTGTGATGACCTTCCCTTCACAGCTATGTATCTCTTAAATAAAAAGTACCTCGTTCCTTTTCTTTAAAGTGCCTCCATAGCAATGTATTTTGCAGCGAAGCTTCGAAGTAGGCTGGAATAAGATAAGACTCCACTAGCTTAACTAGATTGCATGGCTGGCCTGTTTGGCGGACTGGAAAGAATACTGCTGACCAGCAAGAGTTGCTGCTTCCTTTTTTAAATTTCTTTTTCTTCTGTTTTTTACCCTCTGCATACACAGGAGGAGAGGAAGGACAAAAAAGGAAGAGGAGTAAGCCAGAGGCCTTTCCCACTGCAGAGGATATCTTCTCCAAATTCCAGCACCTCTCCCACTTTGACCAGCACCAGGTCACCTCCCAGGTTAGACAAGGAATCCTTTTATCTTCTCAGTGGGTCGTGTTTTAGATTCTGTTATTGTTTAAACAGTAGCCAAATGGACCCGAAGGAATGACCTTTCAAATGTATCCGTATAAATATTTCTTCTGTAAGATGTCACAAAACAATTTAATGCCTCAGAACCAAAACAGCTCTGAGAAGGTTGGAACCTGAAAACCTGAGTTTATAAAATATAGCCATTGGCCATGCCATCAGCTGGTTTTTACTTTGCACCTTGAGGCCTTAACATTAGCATTTTGGCCATTTTAGTTTTGACTTGTTGGAGAAAGAAGTGTGAATATTTAGTCGGGTACCAGCTTGGTTAGCATTTAGCATGGTTCCATCTCACAGACCTGAGACAAGTCTCTTCAGGGTTGAGTCGGTAAGGGCATCTGGTCTAAAAACACAAACTGGAGCGACCTGCTGGGGTGACCCCCTGTGTATAAGGGAGCAGCTGAAACAGCATTGGCTCTATTTTCAGCTCCTGAGATTGCCACTTGGTAAAAACGCATCATAATGTCATCTATTTAAATTATAAATGGCAGAGAATGCAGTCAGTCCTGAATAGTAAAGTGTTTTTAGTATTAGCCCACATATTATAAACTGTGTAAAACATTTTGAAAATTTCATTTGGAACTTTTTTACTTTATTAGTTGGACTCGAGTCTTCAAGGGCCTAATTCAGATTTCAGAAGCCTCAGGAGGCCAGACGTTGTCTCAGTGTTTGGGGATTTACAGTTTAATACATAAGGATAACTTTCCACCACTTTACGGCTGAGTCGGTGTCTGTATTTATATTAAAGGAATCGTTTGACATTTTCTGAAATATGCTTATTCGCTTTCTTGAAGATTCAAGTGGGTAAGAAGATTGATTCCATCCATATATCTCTTGAACATTAAACTTTTTCTTTCTTTTTTTAACTTTTATAAAGAGCCAGACTGGCTACTTCCCCATCTGCTGGTCTTTACTATAAGCCAAGCTAATCACCCTTCAGCTGTAGCTTCAGATGTGACAGTTCAGTCGTCTTTTTTATTCATCAGACTCTTTGTGAGAAACTTTGAGCGTTTATTAGTTTTCCTCTTTTGCTGGTAGTTAAACTAAGTTTGCCTATTTACCATGACTTGATATTAATCCACATGCACTTAAAATTCCAAATTGGTTTATTGACTCTAAAGAAGATATTTGTTCTCATATTTCTTGCATTAATTTCACGTCTGGTATTTTGTGTGCAGGTGTCCAGAAATGTGCTGGAACAGATCACCAGCTTTGCCTTAGGGATGTCCTACCACCTGCCTCTCGTCCAGCACATTCAGTTCATCTTTGACCTCATGGAGTACTCCCTTAACATTAGTGGCCTCATAGACTTCGCTATTCAGGTACTGGCACTTCAGTCACATTTTATGCAGACAAATCAAGTTAGCTTCACCGTTTACTCAGCGTCATGTGTAAACATCTGTTGACTGTGTTGCGCAGCTTCTGAATGAGTTAAGTCTGGTGGAAGCCGAGCTGCTGCTGAAGTCATCCAGCCTGGTGGGCAGCTACACCACAAGCCTGTGTCTGTGTATTGTAGCAGTGCTGAGGAGGTACCACTCCTGCCTCATCCTCAATCCTGAGCAGACAGCCCAAGTTTTTGATGGGTATGTTACAAGTTTTAATGTTTGGAAAAGCTCATTTTATACCAGTTTAAATTGCAGTCGGTGGACCAAGACTGTGTTGTCATCTTTCTGCTAGATAAACTGAAATAGAGATTTCATCACACCCATAAAGGGATGTTTGCAGGGTTAAGGCTTCAGTTAAACTTGTAATTAAAGTAGTAAAGAGAGGATGCGTTTAGTCATTGCAGAGTTAAAGAGTTGTTGTTGGTTTGCACTCATTCAGAAAGGCATTCGCTTGACTTTAATTGGGATTTTTATACCGCGGGGATGCTGACGGTGCATTTGATTCCTGAATGCTGTGTACCGTAAAACACTTAACAAACGCCTCTTAATTGCACCTCTAAAGCGCAGTTATTACCAGAGTATATCGCTTTCTATTCTTTTGTGGAAACACATGTTCAGATTTTATGTGGCAGGCAATTTCTTGATTTTTAATGATGCAGGCCAACAGGACCCTCATAACCTTGCGTATATGGTGCATTGTTATTACAGTAGTGTTTTTATTAGTGGTTTTTAAATGGATTTTATTACATTTTATCAGAGTAACACCGTTTCCCCGTGCTGTCCCATCACATCCTCCTCAGCAAGAAATAACCAACTTTTTCTTTTCATAACTGAACGAATCACATTTTCGTTGTATTGACAGGTTACGCATTGTGGTGAAGTCAGGTGTGAACCCAGCAGACTGTTCCTCTGCTGAGCGTTGCATTCTGGCCTATCTGTATGATCTCTACACCTCCTGTAGTCACCTCAAGAACAAGTTTGGTGAGATATTTAGGTAAGGAAAAAAACAACTTGTATAAATGCACAGGAAAGAATGCATAGACTCATCAATTATGCTAGAATGGAATAATTTGAACCCACTTTTGAACTAATGTTTTTTTTTGTTTTTTTTTATTGGTCGGTGCAACATAATCTCAACTATTTGTTTTTGCCTTGTGTTCTACCACAGTGAGTTTTGCTCTAAAGTGAAGAACTCCATCTACTGCAATATTGACCCATCAGACTCCAACATGCTTTGGGATCCTATGTTCATGATGGAGGCCATCGCCAACCCCTCAGCCAACAACTTCAACCACTCCATGGTGGGCAAACTCTTGAATGACAGCCCACCCAACCGCTACAGCTTTGTCTGTAATGTGCTAATGGATGTGTGTGTGGATCACCGAGACCCAGAAAGGTGCGTTACTCCTGCTGGGCTACACGGGTGTAGGGCTCGGATTGCTGCACTACTGGACTTTGGTTTCGTGACATGTGATGTGCTTTCAGGGTGAACGATATTGGGATCTTGTGTGCGGAGCTGACGGCATATTGCCGCTCCCTGAGCGCCGAATGGCTCGGCATTCTCAAGGCTCTTTGCTGCTCCTCTAACAACGGCAACTGTGGCTTCAATGACTTGCTGTGTAACGTAGATGTAAGTTTCTTTTTAAAGTAAACCTGTTTTCCTTATTTTCTCTTATGCATATACTCTCAACAGTGGTCGAGGCTCATATTAAGCAAAGCAAATGCTAGTTTCTTCCGAAGTTTCATAGTATTTTTGGTTTTTTTGGGTTGGTTTGTTTCTTCTAAATTAGGGAAGAATGTTTTTTCACAAAACACGTGTTAAATTTGATCTTTTACTTGTCTTGTGTCCTTAAGGTTAGCGATTTGTCCTTCCACGATTCTCTGGCAACCTTCGTAGCCATTCTCATTGCCAGACAGTGCTTGCTCCTTGAAGACCTGGTTCGTTGTGTTGCCATTCCTTCCCTTCTCAATGCAGGTAAGAGTTTTTAAATCCCATGAATTCGGGTAAAGGAAGTACTTTATGCCATTGGTTCAAATATTATTGGTCAGATGCCGGGAGCCTTGATCGCATTGGTGAAGTTTACAGTTGTAGTACTAAAACAGAATCCACAGGAGCTTGATGCTTTTGCTAGCTCGTTTTCACGAGTTCAGTTAGGGATGCCTCAATTGTGAAATTGTTAAAGTAACAATTTGTTATTTTCCATCAGTAAACATCACATTGTTGATCAGCTGGTATCAGACAGAAAGGACATTTTTGGCAGACGCAGATGTCCAGCTGAGATATCGATTTCTCCGTGGTTTCCACTATTCGTCAAACGCTTTAAGTTTTACAATCTACAATTCAGCTCCTTATCTTTTCAAAAGTAAAATTAAGCAAACCAAGTAAAATAAATGTGAAGATTAAAAGAAAATAGAAAGCACTGAACCAAGACAAAAGGAACAAGTAACTATGTTATGTGTATACGCAAGAGTTGAGATTTAATTCTGATCGTTTCACAAAAAAAGAACAATAATGACACAACTCCATCTTTTGATTAGATGTAGCTTTGTGAAGTTTCAAGGAGTGCGCTCTTTATTCCATGTGACATATGAGGACTCTGAAGTTTTGTGACCTACACAACTTCACAGTCCCAATAGTGCATTTAGACGTTGAGTTTTGTCCACCTAACTAATGGGATGCATTTCATTGCCTTATTTTAGCAGTGTTCTAGAGATGGTTAAACTCTGTCATCGGTGTGCTCCACTGCTAAACCCAAAATAATAATAATGTATACTTTATTGATCACCGTGGAGAAATTACTCTCTCTGCATTTAACCCATTCACTCAGTGAAGCAGCGGGCAGCCACTAATCAGGCGCCCGGGGAGCAGCGTGTGGGGTACCTCAAGGTAGCTGTTCAGTGGATTCGAACCCCCGATCATGGGGCGACCACGCTACCTACTGAGCTATCCCCAAGTATCATATTTGAATATGATATGTGTGTTTGAAATACTTATCTAATAACAGATATGGATAAGTATACTTCTTTTATGTATTATGTAAAAACTGCCCCCTGTGGGAGTGTTTTCTTTAAAACATTCTTTATAGTAAAGCCCATTTGTCCACTAAATCTCTCGCTTACATTTTTCCTTTAGCCTTACTTGCGTTCTCTATACCACTTTCCTTCCAAGCATCTCTATATAACCGCACAGGCATTGGGCATTCTATAAATGAGTGAGCAGCACATTTCAGCCTGGCTCACAGGAAGGAATATCCAGCTTTATAATGCATTAGTTCTATCAAAGGGGAGAATAAACGTGACGGATTTGATCTGGGTCCACAAAGCCTCGGTGCAGTTTGTGCTTTCGCCAGAAAAGTGCCTCTCTCCCTGCTGTTAATCTTTTTTTCCCTCCCAGAGTGGAGACAAAGCCTCATTCAGCCATGCTGTTTGGTTGCATTTGGCTCATGTTATAACACTACTACATGTGCCAAATGCCAACAGCTCTCACTTGTAGTAAATGCTTTGTTCTCACTCCCTGTTTCACGACAACAGCTCTATGAAAATTCATCTTTATCTTGCCTGATGAGGAGCCTATCTAGGACAGGGTTTAAATTTAGATGTGTGACTTTGATGTAGTGGATTGTGTAGCCCATCCAAAAAGAAAAAAGGAGTGAACCTTCCTAATGCGATGTGAAGGAACTCGGTGTTAATCAGAGCATATGTTTTGATCCGTGACTTCAGCCTGCAGTGAGCAAGACTCTGAACCAGGAGCCAGACTGACCTGCAGAATTCTGCTGCATCTTTTCAAGACACCACAACGCAACCCTGTCCCCCAAGATGGCGTGAAGTCAGGTAGTGAGCGCATCTACAAACGTTTTATCATTTTTCTCAGCTTGAAACAAAGCCTGTCTTAAACTGGTGTTATAACTTTGCAGACAAGGCTTCAGTTGGTATCCGGTCGTCTTGCGATCGCCACCTTCTTGCTGCCTCCCAGAACAGCATCGTGGTTGGAGCTGTATTTGCTGTTCTCAAAGCTGTGTTTATGTTGGGTATGACTATTTATATTCCTCTTATATAATTTAGAGCTTAGAGTGCACCATGTAAAAACTGGTATCAAACACAGGCATAATCAGTTTTGCCAAATGTTTACTGATGGGTTTTGCCGGCTCCTTCTTGTTGCAGGTGATGCTGAGTTGAGAGGCTCAGGGTTGTCTCACACCGCCGGCCTCGACGACATATCCGAAGGACGCAATGTCTCGATCGAGACGGCCAGCTTGGATGTATATGCGAAGTATGTTTTGAAGACCATCTGCCAGCAGGTGAGAACATGAGTTAAGATGGTGTGAATATAGTCCACAGTAAAATGGCTAAATAAAAGATTGCTTTTTACTTTGAGAACTTTGGTCTTTGGTGCATTGTTTTTGTCAGAAAGCTTTTGTGAGACAGCAAATAGTAACTGATTATTCTTATTTTGTACTTCATGTAAATTCAGTAAGCCAGAGGTGCATAAAAAGCATGAATGAGATCATATTCTGCACCAGATGTCACTTAGATATGAAGGCTGGAGGAAGAGCTGGCAGCTCATTATCTTAGAGGAATGTACTTGCTCTGAGACCTCATGAAATTTCCAAAATATTTTTTAGTCAGCAGCTCTGTTTCATAAGAATTGACCCATTGCCCTGTTTTCATTACCACTCACTTAGCTTTAGTCATGCTTGTTTTGGATGACCGAGTTTATCTTGATACTTGAACCTGAACGTGGGGGTCGCTGAAGTTGTTGACATTTCCCACTTTACGCCTTTTCCCTCGTTTTTCAGGAATGGGTTGGAGAACGCTGCCTGAAGTCTCTGTCTGAGGACAGCAGTGCCCTCCAAGACCCGGTGCTGGTGAACATTCAAGCCCAGCGACTGCTGCAGCTTATTTGCTATCCTCACCGCCAGCTGGACAGTGATGACGGTGACAACCCACAGAGGCAGCGTATCAAACGCATCCTCCAGGTAGAGAAAAAAAAGTTCACATGAAACTTTGTTTGCCGTTTAGAACGAGCGTGTTAACTGTAACAGCTTTAATGTGTCTGAAATCATTTGTTATCAAGTTGTTGCTTGAGTGTGATTGGTGGAGTGTTGCTGCCCTCTCCTGGCTAAGTGAGGCTTTTAGGACAGGAGTGTCAAACTCATTTCATTTAATGGGCCACCAGAAAAAATCGGATCAGTAAAGAAAAACATGCCCCTGTTTTAAAATACAGACACACAGTGAACTGTTTGTTTACATAATGAATTATGAACGGCCTTAGTTGCGTAAAGTATCACAGGCTGTTTTTAATATTCACATTATGTCCCTTTACATGTGGTTTAAAACAAAGCAGGAAATCTAACATGTTTAGGACATGGTTTAACACAGGACTAATGCCTCAACTGTCCATAACCTGTTCATGACAGGTTGTTAATTTCTACCACAAGAAGAGAATTTAACCGTAATCCTTTCCCTGATGCAGAATATGGACCAGTGGACGATGAGACAGTCATCTCTGGAGCTGCAGCTGATGATCAAACAGAGCACCAACAATGTAAGTGTTATCTGTTTGTTTTGGTTTTTTTTAAAAAACAACATAATCGTGGGATTTCTGTTATCAGACATATCAGATTATTTCTTATGTTTTCCTTTAGGAGCTCTACTCTCTCTTGGAGAACATAGCCAAGGCCACTATAGAGGTGTTCCAGAAATCAGCTGAGATGAACTCCAGTAACCCCTCAGGGAACGGGGCAGCAGCCCAAGGAGGCTCTGCATCTAATAACAACAGTACCACAAGCAAAATGAAGCCTATTTTAAGGTGCGTCTCTCCTCGGGTCTTGTTAAAATTTGTTTGTTTTTTTTGTTGTGTCTGGACATTTATTAGGAAAAAATCATAGCCATTGCATTTGGGTTTGAATTCAGCGATGCTGACGTGTAATATTTCTTATCTGCAGCTCATCAGAGCGATCGGGTGTTTGGCTGGTGGCTCCGTTGATAGCCAAGCTGCCCACGTCAGTCCAGGGCCATGTGCTAAAGGCGGCAGGAGAGGAGCTGGAGAAAGGGCAGCACCTTGGCTCTTCTTCACGTAAGGAGAGGGACAGGCAGAAACAGAAAAGGTATGTGGCAAACTAACATTTCTTTGTCGTTAAGCCAGTTAGATTTCTTTGATCTGGAATCTCAGAAAGAAATGTTTGGCAGGAAGGACATTTTTCATTTTGTAGCACTTACACATGTTATGAAATCTCCAAAAACTCAGTCTGCCCACTTCTGGACAATGATTCCTTTTTCATCAAGTGAAATTTGTTTTCCGTTCACAGTATGTCTCTGCTGAGCCAGCAGCCGTTCCTGTCTTTGGTCTTGACCTGCTTAAAAGGGCAGGATGAACAGAGGGAGGGTCTCCTCACCTCCCTTTACAGCCAAGTGCAGCAGATTGTCACCAACTGGAGAGAAGACCAGTACCAAGATGACTGCAAGGCAAAGCAAATGATGCATGAGGCACTGAAGCTACGACTGAATCTTGTAAGCGTTTTTAAAGAAGAGACAGCTGGTTTAAAAGAAAGAAGGAATTGCATGAATTAAATCAAATTACAAAGAAGGCAAAAAAATCCACATTGTTTTATAATCTTTGTGGGGAGAAGTACCTAACATTCACACTAGGGCTGGGTATCGTCACTGATTTCTAGACTCGATTCGTTTCCGATGCACAAAGTCCCGAATAGATTCGATCTTCGATTCAATGCGATTTGAATCTGGGAAATTTTGCCTCAGACAGTCAGAAATATTACAATTCAGATCGTGCATCAGTACATTTCCATATTTTTATATCTATAAAACGAACGCTGACACTTGCAAGACTTGATCAAAGGTGTATAAGTGTCACAGCAGATGCCTTTGTGTCAAAGTAGCTGAGGATAAAACAAAAACGTGGAGGTGATTCTCCTGGGATTTTATGAAAATATTCTGCAGTCGATCAAAAACGAAAGAAAACCATTAATCAACATATGAACATTACCTGATGCTGCTGAAGTGAAGCAGAGCAAAGTTACAGAGGTTTTATTACAGACACAGCTGAGCGTTTTGCGATTTTGCATAATTTTAAAAAGTTTACATTTGTTCAGTGTTGAACGGCAGAAATGAGGCTTTCGTTTCAGAAGTAAAAGGAAAAAAACAGCGTCCGACAGGCTGTAAACAACGGTAGACTTGTGCGTAACAAGCAAGCGAATAATGCAGAAAACAGGTTTTTAGACAGGAAACTGTTCTTGAAGTACAGAGAGAGAGAGAGCTGTGCATGAAGTGTGATTTTTATCCTGGTGGAAGCAAAGCAGCAAAACTAAGAGTGAAATCACGACGATGTTTATGTGAAACGTAGTTTGGATCTTCTTTTGCTGTATTTTGCTGTAAACAGTATTGTTTGGAGAGAGATAAAACCTTCAGCTTCATAATCACCGCAAAAAGGGCGTGAACACAAAGCGCGACCCGCCGAAACATCGGAATCAGCGAGCTGTCTGCTTTCAGCCCCGACCGTGTCCGTGCCGTCGGGTGAAAAAGGCGACATCTCGCTGATTCTGATCAGTCGGCGGCTCCACGCTTTGTGTTTTTGTCTTTGTGCAGAATCCGTGTTCCTGCTCTCATTTACTGTTTTAGCTGTTTGGTGGTTGTTGAAGTTTTGTGAGGTTTAGCCTGAGATTCTGGCGTTTCGGCCAAAAAAATTTCTATTAAAAAAATCGATTCAGAATTTTAATGAATCGATATGACGTTAGCCAAACTAGAATAAATCGAAAAGCAAAACCCACCCCTAATTCACACCCTTGCAAAGTCATTGAGAGCAACTAGCATTCGGTATCTGAAATCTTTGGCATGCAATCCACTGGAGCAGCCAGGGATCGAACCAACAACCTTTTGATTATCTACGTCTGCAGCCACAGCCACCCGTCCAATCATAGGATGCATCCTTCAGTTTATTATGAGGAAACAGAGATGTTGTGTATCAGTGCTACTTTGTATCTCTACATCATTTGCATTAAATTGGTGGACACTAGCACAAGTTTCACATTTGAAACTATGATGTATTGTTTTAGAGAAGATGGTGCTAAACAAAAATGTGATGTTTGGCTTTACATTTGAGTGGGTGTAAAATGGATTTTGCTGATGTTTTTAGCAGAGCATAAATTTGTTTTTCAGCTCTGAAACATTTATATTTGAAGTTAAAGTAATTTAAAAAAAAAAATGTCCAAATTTTAAAAGAGTGAAATTTTGACCAGCTGCTATGTGCTGTGAGGGCACATAGTTGGTTGCAGGGTAAAATTCTGCATGGCTTCATTTAATATATGGATTATGAAGCAGTCATGTGGAAACAAACCAAATCTTAGTAGATTTGGTTTGTTGAAAGCTGGAATGACCCAGCGTTTATCGTGGAAAAAAGCTGAGACCAATAAAAGAAATGCAAGCAAGAACATCTTTCATGTGAGCACTATTTAAAATCACCTGTTTTTCTTCTTCTCCCATCAGGTCGGTGGCATGTTTGATACAGTGCAGCGCAGCACGCAACAGACCACGGAGTGGGCGGTGCTACTCCTTGACATCATCAGCAGTGGCACAGTGGACATGCAGTCCAATAAGTAAGTGTTTGCTTCAAAGTAACTTCTATTGAAATATTGGCACATTATTTCTTGAATTGGACACCATGAGCTGGATTCTCCAGCTGCTAGCACTTGACCTGCATTTTTAACAGTTACAGTCGTATTTTGCTTTGCAAGAAACTGTGGAGTACCATCTAATGTCACTCGTGAATTTTTGAATAAACAGTCTAATAAACTATAGTTTGAAAATCTTGAGTGTTACTACTGGGCACTGACTTTATCTAACTGACTAACTCTGCTTCTGTCCAACAGCGAGCTCTTCACAACAGTGCTGGACATGTTGAGTGTGCTGATTAACGGCACACTGGCTGCTGACATGTCCAGCATCTCTCAGGGCAGCATGGAGGAAAACAAGAGAGCCTACATGAACCTGGTTAAGAAGCTCAGGGTAGGATGAGCACAGTTTCCTCACTTATGCAAGATTTTGTTACTGTGTATAATACTTTCCATGTGTGATGTTATGTAATGCTCAACTGTGGTCCTTATTGTGAAGGATAAAAAAAGTCACTCTCTGAATAAGTATTGCATGAAATATATTAACCATGTCATTTAATTTTCCATTTAATTGTATTAACTCGTTAAACTGTTTTTAGATGCACGTATTTATTCCTTTTTTAACTTGTATTTACTGCTAAATGATCAGTAATATTAAGTTACTATTACATGATTATTAAATTAATACAATTAGTAAATAAATAAATTCAGTGTCAAAAGAAAAATGTTAATGCATGATCTGCTTTAGAAGTTACTGCGTATGTAACAGCGACTTCCTGCTTTCCTTATGAGTAGTAAAGGTGTATTAAGTAGCGAACTCGCCAGATTAAAGGGTGAGCGCCGTCTATAAAAATAACCACTTGAGTTCAAGTTAAAAATGAGACTGACCACATTGTTCAGAGTGACAAAAGTGAAACGATTGCTTTTTCACCTTAAGTGCAAAAGGCTTGTTTACTTTGAAGACTAAAGGTCATGGTTAATTCTAGCTGTAACTATCTTGGTTATTGATCATTTTGCATGTGAAGGCAGCCACAGTAATGGCTTTGCTCATGTAGACATTAAATGAGAAGAACTGCATTTTGCCCATGTAAAGTTTTATTAACACTCACTCCATCTGTTTTGTGTCCACAGAAAGAACTTGGAGATCGGCAGTCAGAAAGTTTGGAAAAGGTTCGCCAGCTTCTGCCGCTGCCCAAGCAAACCCGCGATGTCATAACCTGTGAACCTCAGGGTTCGCTGATAGACACTAAGGGCAACAAGATAGCTGGCTTTGAGAAGGAGGTAAACACTTTCTTTTTATTTGTCAATATACATCCTGTACATTAGGCTTAAAAAATTAGATGTACACAGTTTTTATATTTTGAAAGAGGGGTAGAGAAGTATGTTGAAGACAACTAAAGATGCAAATACTGCAGCTTGTAAAGATAAATACAAGTTAAGGTCACAGGAAAACCAGATAAATCTGCAACGAACTGATGCTAACTTGATGATTTTGAATTTAGCAAGAGTTTAGTAAGTTTAATTTGTCTCTGATCTATCAGGGTCTTCAAGTATCTACTAAACAAAAGATTTCTCCGTGGGATGTTTTTGAGGGTCTGAAACACTCCGCCCCTCTCTCCTGGGGCTGGTTTGGTACGGTACGTGTGGACCGTAAGGTGACTAAATTTGAGGAGCAGCAGCGATTCCTCCTTTATCACACCCACCTGAAGCCCAAACCACGTAGCTATTACCTGGAGCCTCTTCCCCTACCCCCTGAAGAGGAGGAACCCCTGACACCTGTCTCACAGGAACCAGAGAAGATGATAGAGGTGGTGAAGACGGAGAAGAATGTAGCCACTGTGCCACCAGAGTCCAACAAAAAGTCCAAATCCAAGAAAAAGAAAGCTCCTTCTAACAAAACAGAGGTCTGTTATCCTGCCAATTGATGTTTTTGCTATTAAATATGAGAGATCATTATATTTGAAACATTGATTTCCAAACTTAAATACTTTATCCTCTGTGACTAGGACTATAACCGAACACCAGGTCCTGCATATACAAGTATGGCACCAGAGTTGATGCAGAACCCCACATATCCCAGGACCATGCCCTATAATCCACAGAACGTGTACACACAGAGCCAGCCTCTACCTCCAGGTCAGATTGCAGGTCAGATAGTAACTGCAGGATACTCTCATCATTATGACTTATGCTGCTGTAGCACCCAAGAGGAATTGCCACAGCTGGAACATCTGGGATTGAGACTTGTGTTTTATTTGTTTCTCCACAGGAGGTCCAGGTTTAGATGCTCCATACAGACAACCAAACCGCAGCCAAATTAGCAAAATGATGCCCGCTCGGCCTAGTTATCCAGGCATGATGCCAGGCATGCCGGGAAGCATGCCTGGCATCATGGGACCAGACAAACAGTACCAAATGACCTTTAAGCCCCATGCTACCATGTCACAAGGCCCGAATCTGCGACACCAACTACAGGTCAGACTGGTGAGTCTGTACCTCTGACATGTCAAGCAATACTTACTCCTTGAGAATAGTTGTGCCACCTTAGCACTATTTAGTAAACTTAAACAGACGTAGTTTGTGTTTAACTGCTGCTTAAATTCTGATCCTTGATTGTTTTTGTAGTAGAGAAAAATGAGTAATTCAATTTTTGTGTTTTCAGCATCAAAATCCAAATGCATTAGGGCAGATTAGACAAATGCCACCAAACCAACAATATACTTCAATGCAATCCCAGGTAAGTGGTGTTTTGTTTTTTGTCACATTTAACACAAGGTTGTATCAAACATGATACCATAGACCACAGACCGTTTTTGAAATCTGTCCTATATTTTGCCTGTGGTCTTTCCTGGTTTTGTCTGCAGTTGTCTCCTCCTTGCTTGGCTTGAATTATCAACATTGTTTTTTTTTTTGTGCTATACCACAGGGCTATACCACATACGGGTCACACATGGGAATGCAGCAGCATCCATCTCAAAGTGGTAGTATAGTACCTCATTCCTATGGCAACCAAAATTTCCCAGGCGCACATCCTGGAGCCAACCCTGCTGTAGTGGAACCTCTAAGGCATCAGAGGCCAAGTGGGTATCTTCTCCAGCAGGCCCCACAGCCCACAGGCTACCCACAGAGTATGCAGAACACACAGAGGTCAGTATTATGTTGCAAGTAAATCTGCTAGTTTGATAATTATTAGCACTTGGAAGTCTTTGTGTCTTTTTGTCCTTGTTATGCTTGCTGTATTGTTGCATATGCTAATTTTTCTTATTGGCTTGTACATATCAGGTTTCCCCACCAGCAACTCCAGCAGAATCCTATCATGCCATCCCATCTCGGGCAAATGGGACAAGGTGTCCATCCAGGCTTGTCCAGGCCCAATCAGATATTAACAGAACAGCAGCAACAATTAGTGCAGCAGCAGCAGTACCTCAGACAACATGCAGCGATCAGGGTATGTCACTTATATGAAGTTAGTCACATCTTGGCCATGGCTTGGGTTTTCTTAAAACAGAAAAAAAGTTGCCTGATGCAGCCGTAAGAACTAAAAACAGGTTGATGGAAGGCTGTGCTTAAAAGGCATGGCCTGTAAAAGCAGAGAAAGTTCCTCTTCTAGCATAGATTAAAGTTCTAACAGCACATCACTGCTGTGTTAGAAGTGTAGTGGTGTTGAATAACGTTAACTTTACTTTTAAACACGTCACAGCTAAATGTTTCCTCCTATGCTGAATAAAAGTTGTTCCCAACAAAATTAGTCTTATCTCAGATTGATAGGATTGGTTCCCTAGCTTTGTCTTCTACCATATTAGAGGGGAAACACCATTTGGACATGTTAACTTGTTTAAATCTGCATCTTTTGAGATTAAATCCAGTATGCAAGAGGCCCTTGCTGTTCTTTCAGCTGTTGTTGTGCATTATTGAAATTTACAAGCTTTTTCTGTGTTATGTTTCCCCAACCAAAACAGGCACAACAACATCAACAGCAGCAGCAGCAGCAGCAGCAACAGCAACAGCAGCAGCAGCAGGTCCAACCACAGCAGGTTCCTCCTCAACAGCAGGTTCCACAGCAGCAACAGCCACAGGTGACGGCTGTGCCTCCACCAGGCCAGGCACAGAACCAGGGCCTGAGCATGCAGCCGCTGCCACCGCAGCAACCCATGGTAGGAGTCCAGGTGATTTTAGTGGCTTTTAGTACTCCAGGCATTCGCAGGATTTATTCATTACGACTGGACAGGTGGCAGGTGCTGGGAAGTTTTCGTGGAAACGTCATCTGTATTTAAATATGTTTTGGATGTGGCGAGATAAACTAAAGGATTAAGACTTGTTGTTATGCTGCTAAATAATTATTTCAAGTCTGTTCAGTTATCACAAAAAATAATTCACAAGAGGGATAAAAAAGGTGCTGTTTGCATCAAAGAGTAGCTCCAATGTTGTTGGGTCTTTTTTCTCTTCCATTTTTTTTTTTTAGAAAGTGCAATAAGGAAATGGTCTTGCATAATAAAACAAAAACAATTACAGATAGGGACACGTCCACCCCCTATGAAATTTAAAGTTTTTGTAAACATTTTCCCAAGTACTTTTTCAACAGAGCAAGGCATTTCTAATGTACTATTTCTAAACATAATAGTTTAGTAATTTAGTTTAATATTTAGTAATAATAGTTTAGAAAGCTTAAATTAGTGATTTGAACACAATGACAGAAATTAATCCAGGAAAAATACAAGAGTCAATATAATTAACTGCCTGAAAAACGGACCTTTTTATTGAGCAATAGCACAAATGACTGACATGTAATGACATGTTTTAGCTTAGTAATGATCAAAACATGTAAAATCAAGTTAAAACCAATCTACCAATTTACACTCAGTGTAACAACTTCTGCAAGGCTTTTAGCCTCACTGAAGATAAATGCCAAGAATAAGAGTAATCATTTTAGACTTGAGAAAAAGAATTGTTGACACTCACAAATAGGCCTGTTCATCGGATGACGATATAAAAACGTCTATCATTTCATTTTACGCTATCGTTTGTTTCGTGGTGTCGCAAAATAAACTGTTTACAACAATATTTTTTTCATGGTTCTGATGTCACTGTAGTGTTTATATTAATTTCTCAAACTTCTCTCTTTCTCTTATATTTAATAGAACCACACTACCGACAGACAAGCGCCTGTTTTTATGCGTTGTCGTTAGCAACAACGACGGTAACAGCATCGCGTGTCCGCTTGTTTATGTTCCACATAAACCTTTCACAATAAAGCTCAAGATCCTGTTGAGACTTTTCAAAATAAACTGAATCACGTGAAAGAGCAGATTATTTATGGATGAGAAGTAAAAAAGAGAAGCCAGGTGCTAAAAAATAAACCTTAGACTCAAACGTTAGAACAGGCTTTTCCCCGCAGCACGCCGTGTAATAAATACTCACAAAGAAACGGCGCCGTTACAACTTATGTCTAAAAATGTATCGTTTCATGCATCGGTTAAAACTGCAGCTACATGACGCACAGCTGGAAACATTTCACACAAGTCGAGCTGCCCGAGATTCACAGAAATTACAGAAAATGTTACATTTTTGTGATTTATATCGTTATCGGACGATAGAATTCTTATATCAGGATGTGAGATTGTGGTCATGTTGCACAGCCCTACTCACAAAGCAGGAAATGGCTATACAAAGTTATCACTGCATTTCCAAGTGCCAAGAACTGGAGTGAAAAGTATCATCAGGAAATTCTAAGAGAGCCACACAGCACAGAAGGCGGCTGGCAGAGGTAGGAAGCGAAATGTTTCTGGAGAGAAAACCGATGAGAGATGTGTTTAAAGACCCCAGAACAACTGCCAAGACACTAGTGAATTTGTTAGCCAACTCGACAGTCACTAGGATCCTGCACTGAAAAACTCCACTTCTGCAGAAGAGACACTTTAAAGCCAGACTGAAGTGTGCTAAGGACAACCTGGAGAGGGACCATGCATACTGGAAGTGCATCCTTTGGTCAGATGAGATGAAACTAGAGCCAGCAGCAAAACCGGGTCTGGGTCATCATTTTGTCTTACAGGATGTTAGCAATCCAAAACATACGTCATTCCTGGTGAAGAACTCACTACCGAAGACCAGCGTGAACATTATCGAGTGGCCGATCAGTTTGTGATCATTTACCAGCCCACTTGAGCATTCAGGCACCCCAAATATTCAGTTGCTGCTAAATGGCTGCTTTTTAAATAAATCAAGGTTAAAGGAGAGAGACTGGCCAGTTTTACTAAGGTTTCTGTGGACTATTGTCATCTTGCATTAACCCTGGGTTAGTAGGGCTGCTCTGACTTCCAAGTTGGAAATCCAGCTTGAGTTTATTTAAAATGAGTTAATTTGGATAAAGGTGCAAAAATAGTTTTAAGTACCCTCTCTCTCTTTTAGTTCCCACGACAGGGAATGCAGCAGACTCAGCAGCAACAGCAGACCGCAGCGCTGGTCAGACAGCTGCAACAGCAACTATCAAGTAAGTCAGAAACCTCTTCAGTGGCATCTTCTCACATTTCTAATGCGTGTTCATTGTTCCACATTTGTAAACCTTTCCCCTCTGTTTTCCAGGTACACAACCATCACAGGGCACCAACTCTTATTACTGATAATGTTTGTTCATAGTGGTGGGCAGAGTGGAGGCCCTGCTCTGTGGATTGGGGGAATACATGTGTCCTGTGCCATGAAGGTAGTTAGGAGGGATGACTTGAAGGCACAAAGGACCACCAAACAGATTAACGAAATCCAATATTGACCACAATCAGAGATGATCTTGTGTCACTTGTGTAATTATAGAATATCAATGGAGTGATCCTTATCTGAAGTAAACACGTAATGCTTAATGATGGAGCCTATGTAAAGAAAAAAATTACCACAAATTATAAGAATAATGCAATTTTTTTTTTTTCAATTTGTACAATTTTTCTCAGTTTCGTGTATTTCTCATTAAAAATCATGTCAGTTTTTAATGTCTGGTACTTGTGTTAGCTGCCTCTTTTAAAACCGGGTAGTGAAAGTTTTTATCTTTCGCTGCTCTTTTTCAAGCTCTGGGAGAAGGAAAATGACAACGAGTGCATAAAATGTATCAAACTGATGTAAATACCACCGTAAATGACTGTTTTGTAAAAGTGTTCCAATAATGAGTAAATAAAACGGTGTTCTTATTACAAGGACTGTGAAAGTGAACCAGCTAAATGGGACTGAGGCATCAGTTCATTATTCACGTCTGTGTTTAATATTGGGAGAGAGGGGGAAGGCATACTGGTAAAGTTGGTGTGTTTCCTCAGCTTGCGACCATAGTGATTAGTAAAAAGAGTGGAAGGACACTTTGACTAACAACTGTTCAGAGACTGGGCAGCTATGAAATATGTAGTATTTAATTATGTTTTTTTTCAGTACAACTAATCTTGGAGTTTTCAAAAAAAATTTCAACACCGAGAAATACAAACAGCAAGGTGTAAAGACCCTGTATACACGTGTAACTATACAGGTGTTTTCATTTCAGCTTAACAGTGTTTAGAATAGTTTCAATCCAGACAGTATGACATCCAACAGTAGAATAAAAAGATGTTAAATCATGGCTCCATTCGGTTTAGAGTGATGATATTAAAACAAAGGCTTCAGCTGTTTTCAGACAGGAACTGTAGATTTTTGGAATCCGAATGAGACCGATGTCCTTTCTGACATGTAGCACTCAACAAGAAATGACTTCAGATATATTCTCACTACTGGAAATGTGCTGCAGTATAAAGTGTGCAGATAGCAGTGAATGCACTTAGGTACTTTGATGCAAGCGCAATCAGATATAAACCCTTATCCTAACGAGGTTTTAGATGAAAGAGACTAATGTGCGGTGTGACTGAGTTAGATCTTTGTGTTCTCACACCCACCACTGAGGAAAAGGTTCATGGTTGCAATGCACGTGTGACAACTCTCACACTGTGAAACTTACTTTTGAGATTACATTAAAAAACAAACCCACACCATCCTCATTTCAAATTTGCAGACTTTTTTGTTTTCTTAGGTTTTTGTTTGTCGGCATTATGAGGTTCCAAGCGACTGAAAAGCACTCCGCTGTCAGATCCTAGTGCTCTTCCTTCAAAAGGACAGTCCATTCCTTGGTACCTCGCCAGGAAGTTCAGACCTGCCCAGCTCCTCTCATGCGGTTGCACCCCAAGTCGTGACAGCAATTTGTTAGAAGCCTCTGGTACAATTGGCTGGAGAAGTGTGCCATATATCCTCAGACACTCAAGAGAGATATGAATGATGGTGTCTACCCAGCGCTGGTCTTCATTGTTTTTCCTATCCAGTTTCCAGGGTGTGTGGCGCTGGACAAACCCGTTAGTGAGCCTCACACAGGCACTGATGGCCTCCAGAGCTTTGTATATATGCATAGCCTCATAGTGCTTTTCCACCACAGCTGGGAGTTTCTGTATAGCATCCAACATGTGGTAGTCTTCATGCACAGCTCTGCCTCCGTGTGCTCTGGGGAAGGACTGAGGACAGAAAGAGGGGTAGACCTGAGCTGGGTTGAGAGCTGGTGCCGTGCAGCGGTTAAGCAAACCACCCAGAGAGTCTGCGAGCTCTGCGTTGAGCAGCTTGGCAACTTTGTCATCTGTGTAATCACAGTCCGAGTCAGGAACACCCTGACGCAGGAGAAAGTATCTCATACCATCAGCTGTAAACATTTGTGAGCGTTCAAGAGGATCGACCACATTTCCCAAACTTTTAGACATCTTCTTGCCTCCTACTGTCCAGTGGGAGTGCACATGAATCACCTGTGGCAGTGGCAGTCCAGCTCCTAGGAGAAAAGCTGGCCAGTAGATGGCGTGAAATTTTAGGATGTCCTTTCCTATAACATGGCGGGCCACATGCCACCATTGGTTGTGTTTATCTGGATATCCTGCTACTGTGAGGTAGTTCACCAGAGCATCTAGCCATACGTAGATAGTCTGTTCATCATCTCCGGGGACTGGGATCCCCCACTGAAGACGGCTTCTCTGACGGGACACCGAGAGGTCAGGAAGGTCTTCCTGCAACCACTTAAGTACAGCCTGGTGAAAACGCTCAGGCTGTACAGCCTGAGGATTTCCTCTGAGCCAGTCAAGCAGCTGAGATTGAAACGCAGACAAGCGAAACATATAGTTCTCCTCTTTCATCCACTCCACCTGCAAAACAGTGGCGAGATAATCTGTTTTTGAAACTTTGTTAATGAAGTTAAAATAGCTTCATATAAACACTGAAAAGGGGAAAACGGATAAAAATCTCCATTTCACAATTCGTTTGGGAAGCATTTTCAGTGTTTATTTGGCAGGGCAGTAGAGCACAGACAGGAACTACATGCAGTAAATAGTCTGTGGTAAAATCGAACCCATTGTTAGGCTCCACGTACTCAGCAAATGTCACACACTAAAGATTAGAGGCTCAAGTTGGCGTATTTTTCCTAGGCTTCTTAAAGCTCCTCAAGAGACAAAAGGAAAAAATTGTTTGCACGGTTTGATCGAAATTACCTTGTGTCCACTCTCCAGCGACACTTTGATCTCCTTCCCTAATGAGTCCAAAGCATCACCGACTTGAGAGGGCATAAGAAAGCTTTCATCTTGCGTGGAGTACCAGCCTTCGTAACTCCCCTTGTAGATGAGCCCTTTGTTCCACAGCACCGACCAGAAATGCTCCACAGCCTCACGGTGTCTCTGCTCGGTGGTTCTTATGTAGTCTGTGTACGATATGTTGCAGCTGCTGAAGAGATGTCTGAACTGCTTGGACACACCGGTGCAGAAGGTCAGGGGATCTTTTCCTGCAGCTTCAGCAGCTTGTTGGATTTTCAAGCCATGTTCATCAGTGCCTGAATGTATGACAAACATAACAAGAGCATCATCAAAAGCCAAAAAGTCAACTGAGCAATAATAATGGTTAAAATTAAAATGCATTCCACTCACAATCATATAAAACAGAAAACGAACTAATTTACTTTTTCAACAGTTTCAAAATGTCAAAATTATAAGGTGATCACAGAAGAGTTTTATGTCAACATCTTAGTCTTTTCTTCTCTGTTATACCATTTTCTCTTTTGCCCTGATCTGTTCAGTGTAAGGCTTAAAATGGTGTATAACAAAGACCTTAATACCTATAGACACCCATTAATTAAAGTAACATGAAAAACGAACACTTAGCGTAAATGGAAGATTTACCTGTTGCAAACTTTGAGTTAAATCCCTGCAGTAGTTTGTACCTGTGGAAGCAGTCTGCTAAGACAGCTGAGTAAAGGTGTCCTAAATGAGGTGAAGCGTTGACATAGAAGATGGGAGTAGTTATATAGTAACTTCTGTCATCTTTGCATAGCTGAGTGCTCAAAGCAGCGCTGCTCCGATGTTCCCAGAGAGGTGGAACCGGTGATAAAAACGGCTTTTGATGGAGTCTGTAAACCGCTCTACATCCTCTGGTAGCAAACAGAAAGGGGAACCTCATAGTTGGATACCAAGCGACGTCCACATGAAGACCAAAACACGATACTGAATCCACGTAGTGTAGAGTGTTAGCGTAAAACCGGCGAATTCAGTTCAATGGAACCCTGGAATCCATGTGTTTCATTGCCTGTGAAGGTTGAGGCTTCTTCCGGTTTCTACGAATAACAATAATTTGTCCAATGAAAACGCTGTATGTTGCGCATTGACTATCAACCACCAATCAGATTACGAGGTGTATTTCCCCCCTATTTCTTTCTTATTTTTCCTTTTTTTCTCTTTAATTTAGTGTTACCGCTGATATTCTAACACATATTAAAAAAAAGAAACTATACAAAAAGCAAAATATTTACGGTAAAAAAAAACTACATCGATTTCAGTGGGACGTTTTTTTAAACTTTGAATTTATTGACAAAAACAGACTAGGAAGTTGACATGTGCACAGGCACGTGGTTTCAGTGAGGTAAATACAAAGGATTTGTATTTTTTTTAATCCACTTATCACAATTAAGTTGTTGAGTTGTTGCATATATTAATACAACAATGTGCTTAATAAAATGCACATTGTTGATGTGATTATTATTGGAGCACAGTTCAAACAAAACTGTGATTGTTCGAATCTTCTTCCAAACCTTGGCAAAGTAGTGACACATCTGAATAACTTGTTCCCCCCCCCTTTCCTCACTCAAACCAGATCCTGGGATACTTGAATTCCTCCAGAAACATGTCCCTACTCCAGAGTGAGCACTCCATCTGTTCTGGCTGAAGACCATGGCCTCAGACTTTGAAGTCACAAAACACATGCAGACTGGTTGGCAAACTCCCATGCACACTCAGTTATCCTCAACAGGATAAATAGATGGTCCAGCGCTCCACCAGCGCAAGAAAACAACATTGCTCTTCCCGAATCTGGGGTTCAACTAATGGACAAACTCTCCTTTCCAGTAACCCCGCTTCCTCTACAGAAGACGTGTCAGTAAAGAGGTTCACAAAGTATTCCTTCTACTGCTTGTCTATGCCCTTAGTCGAAGTCAGCAGTGGTGGAGCACTGCTTTCCCCGCCTGATTTCCTGATGATTGGCCAAATTTTCTGGATTTGGTGGATTTACTGTATCCACCGATAGCTTCGTCGAAATACGAATTATTTTGTATTGGTGAGTCCAGTGAGCGGTGTCAAACAAATCATTTTTGCTGGCAAAAAGAAACTTCCAATTGTCAATCATTATATTAC